CTGGACAAGGATAGGAAATAATGTTGGACCAATATCAGAAATGTCTGTACAAGAAATTAAAATCAAAGCATAGAAAATGAAAATGAAATCAATGAAATTTCAATTTCATTAAAGAATGAAATTCTTTTGGGGCCTCCCCCTCAATGGGAGGCCCCAAAATGGATAAAAGGAAATGTTTGGGCCAAATTTAATTAAACCCAGTTAAGTTATTCCACAAGTATAAATTATGAAAGCTTTAATTAGTTCTTTCAGACTCTAATGTGACACTCAGTGAATTATTTCCCATTTAGTGAAAAGGGACCTCCTGTGGTCCAGTGTTTATAAAAGAAAATGAATCAAACAAATGGTTGATAACATAAATATTATAGACACTTTTAGTGTACTTAAGGAATCATATTTCTTTTGGTCTTAACCCAGTGGTGACACTGTAGCTCATAAGACATACCTAAAACTGGATTATGGTTAATAATCTGTTGAATCCTATATTGCTTTTGCTAGAGACCCAGCCCCGTTTCATTCTTATGACTAAGTGTGATCCTACTGTAACTTGTTCATCTAATAAACTCTACAATAGAAGGAACCAGTTCATGTGACATGTCCTTCACACTGTCAGTAGTCTGTGTTCACCTTGGCATGATTCACATCTGCCTCCAAGGATCTTATTTAGATGAACTGGTGATCAGATTGATCAGAAACCTGGGTTAAAATAATTCATCACTGGTCTGCCACTCTGTGGAAACCCCACAGAGGCACTGCTGACCTTGGACAAATCATTTAACCCCAGTGGGCCTTCCTTTCCTCTTCTGTCAAATAAAGCAATTGGATTGGGTGATCTTAAGGTCCTGTGCGTGTATAAATTGCTAAGTCTCTGTAACTTTATACATTTTATTTGCTGCCTGGGGTAGGAGTGGGCTCTTTGGGATGCTAGATTTGGTGAAGATAAAACTTTTTTAGCTTATTTGCACTGGACTTCTGTTTTTGTTGGATTTGAGATATGTTTGTCAATAAGATTCTTTTTGCATAGAACTGTTATAAATAGCAAAATGTTTACAGAATACATAAAGTGAAAAAATAATTGAATTTTTAAACTTCACTTAAGAGAGTTGAAAGTTGACAAGTTTTTTTTTGGATTATTGTAGATAAATTGAATTGACTTGAATATTTTTTGTTTGAAATTTTTAAATCATGTTCAGTTTGAGAAATTACATTATGAGTTTTTTTAGCCAATTTTTCAAGTAATGTTTACTGTGAGATTGCTTTGTAAATTAATTTTCCTTTGACAAATGGAGACTGACTGGATTTACTCCCACTTTAGCCTCTTTTAGTAAGGGTTAAACTATTTCAGATATTTGGTTTAGATTCGTTTAACTCACAGAATATGTGGCTTGACAAATTTTAATGCCCCATCTTGTATAGTTTAGTGTAATTTGGTGCTTTAAGAAAAAATTTTTTCCCTTTTCCTTTGCTCTCTTCCTTCCATTCTTCCTCCTTTCCTTTCCTTTCTTTCTTTCTTTTTTTTTTTTTTTTTTTATTTTCTTCTCTTCTTTTCCAGGGGTTGGTGTTCTGAGGACCTAGAGCTAGCTCCTCCAGCGTGTAAAGGGGAGAGGGGAAGTGTGGGGTTTTGTCAGATCCTCCACAGGGGGGAGAAGCTAGTGTCTCTTCCCTTGAGGTATAGTTCTTCCAGTCTGATGAACTGTCAGATCCACTGAGTGATTGGTAAAGCAGATTGGACAGTGACTCGAGGAATTGGGGGGCAGGGGGAATATTTTAAACAGTAACTATCAAAAGTAAAGTGATTTCTCCAGAGGCTTAGCAGATAGAGCTGTGTGTGTTTCTAGTGTTAGCAGTCTGCAGGAATTATGCTGAGTGCAGTACTGTTTCCTAAGAGGAAAAGGAGGATGAGTGTGAGAGGGTGATGAGAGGTGAGTTGGGGTGGATTGTAAGGCACCAAGAGAGGGGGAGCATAAATGTTGGTTTGAGTTTTGGGCAATGAAACCTGCTTAATCCTGATGGCCCTTGATCAGAATGACAACCCCAAAGTTTTTTATTTGCATATTTGTTTTTTAATAGAATGATTATTTTATTGTTAGACTCTTTTACCCTGTTGTGGTTTAATGTGATACCTTAGAGTAAAAGGTAAAAAAGTTAAAGAAAGCAGATTTTTATATTCTTGTACATAATTATAGTTTGGGCTTCCTGGGAAACAAAACCCTGCTGCACATCTTACATGACTGATTTCTGGACCCAAAGTGGGCTTGACAGTGGGCTGGAGCAGTAATAGCCCACCTACTGTCAGGGGAGGCCAGGGCAGGCATTTCCCAGCAAGCCTGCCTGAGATGGGGCTTATCCTAGACCCTAGGACCTAGGAAGAGACGCCTGTATGTGGGGGCCAAAAAAGAGTTGGCTTCATCAGCAAAGTGACCTACCAACAAGAAAGGTGGGGGTCTGGGTGCCTGAAATTTAAAACGTTGAAAGCTGTCTTCTTTAGCAAGTACCTATTAAGCAGCTACTGCAGATGGTGAGCAATTGCTCTAGTCTTTGCATAGGCAACAAAAGATGTGCGCTTCTCCTCTTCAGGAGCTTATGTTTTGCCCTAACCTTTGGCAAAGTCACAGATGAAAATGAATATTAAATTTTGTGACTGTCATTCATACAGGCCCCTGAGCTGATGATCTTCTTGAGCCTCTGGACACTAGACCTTTAAAGTCTCTTTTTTTCTTCATAAGCAATATATACCTGACATGTGGTAGGCACTCAGTATACTTCTTATATGAATGAATGTTCATTGCCATTTTAAAATAAAAACTATAAATTAAGCCAAAAGAAAAGATTGTCACCTAATCTTGCCACACATACTTAACCATAACATGCTTCTGAAAATGAGAGATAACTAGCCAGTGCCTCCCTCCTCTGGTTTCTTGAGACTTCCTTCAGGAGCAGGGCTCCCACCAGGCACTGTGGCCACCAGGGCAACCTTGCTACTGAAGCCAACTCTTGGAGACCTAGGAATATCGAGAGTAGGCTTGCCAGGAAAATTCCTCTGGAAGTGGCACTATTTGCCCGCTCTCACGTTACCCTCTTCTGTGAACAGGGTTCAGATTTAAAATTATATACTCTTAGGATAAAACTAAATAAATAAAATTATACATACTCAGTAACAAAATATAGATTTATAGTGTTTGGATTAAATATGGTTTTCTTCCTATTTAAAAAGACAGACCAGAGTACCTATGTTATGTGTGCCTAGTACTTAGAAAAATAATAATGTACAGTAATCTTTTCTTTGTTTTTAAGACAGTCTTGTGAATTGATAGAGAAGCAATGCGATTAGATGGGAAGGGCAGTGGTTTAGGAGTCTACAGTGTTGAATGTTAGTCCCGACTAATCATACACTCTAAGCTAGAGGATATATTAAATATTTAACCACTTTGGGTGTCAGTCATTACACTGATAAAACAACAAACTGCTTTAAACAGTCTTTCTGCCCTACCGTAGTAATCTAAGGCCATAAACCTCGATTTCCTTGTGCCTTTTCCAGGACCAGTCTACTTCTCTGTATTGTTTGGAGTTGAGGGTATACTTTTCTGAGATTCTAGCAACCAAGAGTGAGCAAATAAAGAGGAAACAGCAGAATACTTTTGAAGTTCCCCACTGTGCTTTTTACTAGAAGGGCCATTTCTAGTTAGAGGATTTCAGAGCATTAGAAAACTCTATAGTGATATGATGGTTACACTCTTCCTTAGACTAAAATTACAACCTGAATGCACTTAATGATATGTGTGTGTATTGTAATTTGTAAACATAACTCAAAACCCTATATCTGAGTCAGGTCATTTGTGATCAGCCATTCAGACTTCATTTCTATTTGACAAGGGTTTGTTTTAAGATTGCTTTGTTGGAGCAGTTGTTTACCATTCAAGTGATCTATTAGTGTCAAGTCTTTAGGTAGAACTGTTGTGTTTTGTTGTTTTTTTTTTTTGAGACAGAGTCTCACTGTGTTACCCGGGCTAGAGTGCCGTGGTGTCATCCTAGCTCACAGCAACCTCAAACTCCTGGGCTCAAACAATCCTTCTGCCTCAGCCTCCCGAGTAGCTGGGACTACAGGCATGCGCCACCATGCCCGGCTAATTTTTTCTATATATTTTTAGTTGTCCGATTAATTTCTTTCTATTTTTAGTAGAGACAGGGTCTCACTCTTGCTCAGGCTGGTTTCGAACTCCTGAGCTCGAACAGTCCGCCCGCCTCAGCCTCCCAGAGTGCTAGGATTACAGGCGTGAGCCACCGCACCTGGCCAGGTAGAACTGTTTTAAATGAACTTGCCCATTAAGTAGAAAACCAAATAGAAATTTAGGATTTCCAACCTAACTTAGCAAAGTCAATGTAACTTAAATTTTATCTTCAGATATGTTTGTTGAACTTGTTTTCTTCCTTCAGTATGCATTTAGAATAATAGTAGCTGTATAAACAAAAATTTTTTTTAGCTGTTCTTGATATTGTTACTTAGCAAGAACTATTGACTTCTTAATAGGTTCAGACCAGAACACTTTACAGTAAGCTAAGTTCAATGGAATCTTTAGTAAGTTAATTATGTTTCTTAACAAAATCACAAATATGTATAGAAAGAATAAGATTTGCTTCTATAGCTTTATTTCTAGAATGTTAAAAGAAATGTTCTATGAAGTAAGTTCTCATTAAGCCATTAACTGCAGCATTATTTTTTTACAGGTTAAATATATATTGTAACTTTATTTGGTTATTTTGTTGGGAGTGTGGGTCAGTTGGATGGAAGCCAAAGATGATTTAGGTAAATAGCTAAACTGTGCTTCAGGGTGATTTTATACATTATTCTAATCCTTACCATTAGTGCCACGGCTTCCTCTCCTCTTTCCTGGTGTCCAGATTGTCACGGCTATAGTTAGGTCATTCTTTCCTATTTAACAAATATAACCATCATCAGCTTTTAAAATGAGGTTTTCTGCCCCTTCCCTTTTGTGTTCTAGGTGCTCCATACTTGCTTGCAGTGCTTACGTGGCTCTGGCTTTGGGGGATAACCTTATGGCTTTGAACCATGCAGACAAACTTCTTCAGCAGCCCAAGCTGTCAGGATCTCTTAAGTAAGTGTGACTTGCCCTGTGTGTCCCTGGTTCATTTTGAGGTTTCCAGTTAGTTTGTGGTGTATACTGCTGTTTTTTACTCCTCCAGTGGAATATATATTGGTGGGGAAAGAAGCTAGTTAAAAAACTTTCTTAACTCAAATCTTGACGATGGAAATTTTTTCATTTGTTGCACCTCAGGGATTAATAGAAATGGTATTTGCTATACTGAGTGTTAGGAGACAAAAACTTGGGACTCATTAATGTCCATTGCTAGGGCTTACTGGAGCACTTTAGGCCACAAAATAAGTCAGGTCCTCAGGGAGAAGACCCACCAAAAAAGGAATTTGGTCAACATGATAAATCTACTTTGAGGAATGCAGTTTAAATAGATAAGAATTTTAAAATACTTAAAATATTTTAAAAAATATTTTTCCTAGCCATTTCATAAGATAGTTTTATTCAGACTCTAGATACCTCTTCAATATTAGTGTCATTGTCATGCTAAAATTTTCCAAAGCACATCATCTTTTCTTTTATCAAAATTGGATAAAATACAGTATCTTTTAATCTTTTTATGGTGCTGATCCCGGAAATTTTATCCAAAGCCACGAGTATTCTATATAACATTAGGACAGTTGTTTTTTCATTCATCCTGTAGTTATATACTTACAAATTCCAACATATAACTACTTACTCTTTTGCTTTTTAATGGTCTTTGTTTACAATGTGCAATACTTAGAATTGTGAGGTCATACTCTGAGAAATAATTCCATAAATATTTGACTTTTTTTTTGCCTTTTAAAAAACTGGTTACTTTATATAAGCATCTAAATTTAACATTGATTAAGGTTGTTTCAGGCCACTGTTCCCCATATATTCCTTATATTTAAAAAGTAATTAAGAAATCATCCAGTCATAATTTGTCACAATTCAAATATAAGGGAGTTCCTGCTCTTCTGCAAGAGAACTTTGTCCAATATCCAGGCCTAGAAGGGGGATTCTGAGTCTCAGTTCAAGGCAGTTGGGTTGCTTCTGAAGTGCCTTAATTCTTACCATTGCCCAACTCTGTGAAGTGCCAAAGTCAGGAGCTGTGGCTGTCGCTGGTGTTCAGATTGTGGTGTGTATGGCTGTTATGAGAACAGTGGACTTTTTTTTTTTTTTTTTAACAAAAATGAAACCCAAATTTTAGCTGCTCTTTAAATCCTTTGGTTGACAGTGTGATCATTATCCTCAAGTAATTCAAAGTAGATTCTCCATTTGGCATTTGTTTGGGAGGTTTTAACCTCATTTGTCAACTTTTCACTCTGAAAGTAAAAAAAAAAAAACAAAATTCCCTAGGTTATAAGGTTACCTGGTTTCTTAGCTAATTTCTAAGGGATTGGCCAAGCCATGTCTGGAAATTTCTTTTTTTTTTTAATCATAGTGTGGAATGGAAATTTCTTTTTTAATTCTCTTAACCATTCTATCATTCTATCCTAAGCATTGGTTTCTTAATTAATAACGAGACCACCTGTCTGTCTTCCCAGTGAATAGGTCTGTCTTCCCTTCTGCATTTGGCTGCCCTTGAATACCCAGCAGCTTTTGCCCCACTGCTCGTTGCTTTCTACACACCTAGTCGAGGATTTCTAGGCTTTGTGTGTCATGAAAACATTTCATTTAGTTAAAAAAAAATTATTTTTCATGTCAGATAATGTGCTGATTTGTAACAAGGTTTAAGGGAGGCACATCTCACACAGGAGCATGAAAACCCAATCATCACATTTATAAACTACAAAAGGATTAAAAAATATTTTTAATTAATTTTACAGAAAACAAATTGACATAGTTCTTTCAAGTTGCATGTGTGTTTGTGTCTCATAGTGATTATTGACTTGTAGATACGGCATTAATGAATTTAAAAAATTTTATTTCAAAATATATTTGAAGTTACTGATTTTTTTTTTCTTAAATATCATTTCTCTTAGGGTATTTGTGGGGGAAACAAAATAAAAGGTCATCGTAGCTCCTGATAGTTAGAAGAAAGAAATTGCTTAATAAAGAGATAAAGAGACTGGTATTGGGAGGATTGCTTGAGGCCAGGAATTCTAGACCAAGCTGGGCAACATAGTGAGACCCCTTTTTTCTTATGAGCTTTGAAAGACTTCCTAGGATCTACAAAAAAAATTTTTTTTTAAATTAGCCAGGCATGGTGGCGTACATTTCTAGTTCTAGCCACCCAGCAGGCTGAATGAGAAGTATCACTTGAGCCTGGGAGTTGGAGGTTGTAGTAAACTGTGATTACACTACTGTTCTTCAGTCTGGGTGACAGAATGAAACCCTGTCTCAAAAACAAAAACAAGCCCTTGACAAAATAGTAAAGAAGATAAAACCAAATGAACTTGAACTTAAAGGGAAAAATTCCTTTATTCTAGCAATTTACTATTTGTTCTTGATATGGGAACTTTTATTAATTTCTGTTCCTAAAGTTCATATCACAAAATGATACGTAATAATAGCTTTTATTGAGGGGTAATTTTTTTCTACATGTGAGTATAAATAACAGACTAAAGGTGAACAGCATGGAATATGTCATTGCCAAATTATTAGTGAATCTATAGTTCAGGTTTCCTATCCTTTGAAACACACAATATTACTTAATTTCCTAATTGTATTTCAATTTTTTGTGTGACCACTAAGCTTCCATTTTATTGTAAAGCTGTTACCTCTTTACAGAATTTAAGTCTGAAGATGTAAAGAGAGAATAGGCCTTGTGTAACAGACGATTCTCTATTTTATGCTCCTTATTGTGATCACAGAAAAAAAAATCCAAGTGCTTTCTACATTTTTTGATAAACATTGTATGCATGCATTTAAACTTGAAATGTATGAGCAGAATGAGACAATCATTTAAATAAAAAATGAGAAGTATTATAATTTAATGGCCTTGTTTTTGCTATAGCAATAAAATGACCAAGTGCAATGACTTGATTTAATAAAAATCATCTTTTAAAAAAAAAACAAAAAACAGAGAGAGATAAAGAACTCTTAGGTGATTAATTGTACATAAATGCCAGAAAATGGTCAAATTGAAAAGAGCCTGTTTGTTTGTTTTTTTTTTGTTTGTTTGTTTGTTTTTTGAGACAGAATCTTGCTCTGTTGCCCAGGCTAGAGTGCTGTGGCGTCAGCCTAACTCACAGCAACCTCAAACTCCTGAGCTCAAGCGATCCTCCTGCCTCAGCCTCCCGGGTAGCTGGGACTACAGGCATGCGCCACAATGCCCAGCTAATTTTTTCTATATATTTTTAGTCATCCAGCTAATTTCTTTCTATTTTTTCTTAGAGACGGGGTCTCGCTCTTGCTCAGGCTGGTCTCGAACTCCTGAGCTCAAGCGATCCACCCGCCTCAGCCTCCCAGAGTGCTAGGATTACAGGCATGAGCCACTGCGGCCTCCCCCCACCCCTCTGCCAGAGCCTAAGATTTGATGACTCAATATGCATATGGACAGACTCAGTTGAGGCAGGCTAGCTGAGAAGATGAGAACTGAGGAGGCCCTTTGAAAGGTGTGGTTAGCTATGTGGAGATCAGACCAGACTTTGAGTCCTAGGAGGCAGGGCTACGGGGAAGCAGTGGGTTGGGAGAGCGAGAATATTGGCTGGATATAGTTGAGTGGGAGCCAAATTGTGGAGAGCTTTGAAACTATAAAAGTTTAGTTTTATTTGTTTTGTTCTCATGTAGAAAAAGTCATTAAGATTTTGAGCAGGCCGGGCACAGTGGCTCACGCCTGTAATCCTAGCACTCTGGGAGGCCGAGGGAGGCCGAGGCAGGTGGATTGCTCAAGGTCAGGAGTTCGAGACCAGCCTGAACAAGAGCGAGACCCTAAAATAGAAAGAAATGATCTGGACAACTAAAACATATATATATATAGAAAAAATTAGCCAGGCATAGTGGCGCATGCCTGTAGTCCCAGCTACTCGGGAGGCTGAGGCAGGAGGATCGCTTGAGCCCAGGAGTTTGAGGTTGCTGTGAGCTAGGCTGACGCCACGGCACTCTAGCCCTGGCAACACAGTGAGACTCTGTCTCAAAAAAAAATTTAAGCAACCCTTAATTGATCCATTTTACCTAAATAAATGTAGATTTTAATTCAAGGACATGAAATATAGGAGATTTATACATGATGTATAATAACGTAGTATACCCAATATTATTCTACATTAGGTATTTTTGCCATGACCTACTTTTCAGTTTGGAAATCTGTTTTTTCATTTTAGGTTTTTGGGACATTTATATGCTGCAGAAGCACTCATCTCTCTCGACAGAATATCTGATGCTATTACTCACTTGAACCCGGAGAATGTCACTGATGTCTCCTTAGGGATCTCTTCAAATGAGCAGGACCAAGGTTAATGAGGACACATTTGATCAGAACTGGTCACCATTTCCACTTCCTTCTTGTCATAATTCAGGATATGTGGAAATTTAAGGGCATGGCTATAAAGAAAAGGAAGTTGTAGGCCAGCTTTCCACATTTCGGGCTGTACTTTGTAATAATTGTTTGCTAAGTAGACCTGGGAGTTGATTATCACATGGTCTAAATTCTCACTTTTTTTTTTTTTTTTTTTACATACAATCAGCAAAATTCTCACTTTTAAAAGGCTAATAGGCTGGTAGTGTTAGGACATTTTTGTTGATTCTAACATATTTTTTAGATATGTTGATGCTAACTGTATTTTTTTATTTGGAGTGCTTCCACTATCAAAGGGGGAGTAAAAATATTGCATTCAAAAGTCAGTTTTAAATCATGGCTACGGTTTTTGAGGAAGTTAAATTATATGACATTCACTTTATTCAAGGTTAGCTCTCAGGTTAAGGTGGTAGTGGGTGGTTGCAATCTGATGTCTTTTAATAGAACCTCCACTACATGAAAAGTAAATGTTGTGACAGATTGCTTTATATTATATTTCCATTTCATAAAGAAAGTTAAGTTTTTAAAAAAATATGCTCTGTTGTTCTGCCTCTCAGATTCATTTTCATGTTGTTGTAGGATCAGACAAAGGTGAAAATGAAGCAATGGAATCTTGTAAGTAAGAACTTTTGTAAATACTTAAGTAGTGTGGCCTGCATCCCCAAAATGTCGACTCTAAATCTTGTGTCATTCATTTATCTGCCTGAAGATTAGTGCTGTGCGAGCGGAGTGGCTCCTCAAGGGCGGTAGATTGGGTTGCTCCCTTGCCCCTGGCACGGCCTCTTCACCAAATCTATACTCTTTTTCCCCAGCTGGGAAGCGGGCCCCTCAGTGCTACCCCAGTTCCGTCAACTCTGCCAGGACTGTGATGCTGTTCAACCTTGGCAGTGCTTACTGCCTGAGGAGCGAATATGACAAAGCCCGAAAGTGTCTCCACCAGGTGAGGCCAAGAGTGGGAGGGGCTGAACCTTATAAAGCAGCCAGCAAAGGGTTTGAGGTTTATGGCTTTTGTTATTTTGTTTGAGGCATCTGGTCAGTTTGTTAAACAATTGGCATATTACTCTTCCAGGTTTAAAAATATTCTTGCAAGGTAAACAACTGATGAGCATTGCAAAGGAACCTAGACACTTAGTGGAGAGTTTTTTTTGATGATTTTAATAACTAAAACTCCAAAAGATTGTCGGCCGGGCGCAGTGGCTCACGCCTCTAATCCTAGCTCTCTGGGAGGCCGAGGCGGGCGGATTGTTTGAGCTCAGGAGTTCGAAACCAGCCTGAGCAAGAGCGAGACCCCGTCTCTACTAAAAATAGAAAGAAATTAATCGGACAACTAAAAATATATAGAAAAAAAAAAAATTAGCCGGGCATGGTGGCACATGCCTGTAGTCCCAGCTACTCGGGAGGCTGAGGCAGAAGGATTGCTGGAGCCCAGGAGTGTGAGGTTGCTGTGAGCTAGGCTGACGCCATGGCACTCACTCTAGCCCGGGCAAAAGAGTGAGACTCTGTCTCAAAAAAAAAAAAAAAAAAAATTTCCAAAAGATTGAAAGCCATCTAAGAGACCACTGAAATAAATAATGGTGCATCCATATAGTTGAACACAATGCAGCTGTAAATTCCATGTATTAAAATAAATGGATGTCTAAGTAAGACAGCAAGGTATAAAACAGTTTCTTAATCCCAGTGACTCAAGAGGCTGAGGCAAGGGGGATTGCTTGAGCCTAGGAGTTTGAGGCTGCAGTGAGCTATGATCATGCCTCTGCACTTTATCCTGGGTGACAGAGGGAGACCCCTTCTCTCCCCATCTCTAAAAAAATAAAAATAAATTTTAAAAAAACTTCTGCATAATCCTATATGTGCTTAAAAGATGATCTCTGAAAGAACACACCAGAAACTGCTAACATTAGCTGTAGGGGTGACAGGGTGAAACTGTGTGTCTGGAACACTAGAATGGGGAGACTTTTCAATGTATACTTTTATGCTTTTTAATTTTGAATTGTGTAAATCTATATTCAAAAAGTTAATTATGGCCAGGCATGGTGGTTCACACCTGTAATCCTAGCACTCTGGGAGGCAGAGGTGGGAGGATCGCTTGAGGTCAGGAGTTCAAGACCAGCCTGATCAAGAGCTAGACCCCATCTCTACAGAAAATAGAAAAAATAAACCAGGCACAGTGGTACACACCTGTAGTCCCAGCTACTCAAGAGGCTGAGGCAAGAAGATTGCAGTGAGCTATGATGACACCACTGCACTCCAGCCAGGGTGACAGAGTAAGACCCTGTCTCAAAAAAAAAAAAAAAAAAGTTAATTATAAATACACCTTTCAGAAAGTCAGGGTTCAGAGGAGCAGTATTGGACAATGTCCATACACACTAAAGAAAGCTGCTGGCAATATACAACTAGTATAGACCTCTGAATTCTACTACTGAAATGGTACATCATCATGTCTCCAGGAAGATTCTGATTGGACCTCTTTAGGTTACCTACTCATCCCTGGGCATGAAACCGTACGTATTATATGTGGCTTGATATTGCCATCAGCAGCCCCAAAGGGGTTTCACAGAATTAGAAAGGGATTAATTCCTCAAAAGGAGATTGACTCAGCAGATATCTGTTGAGCACTAACTTCTATGCTGAGCTGTGGGAATAAGACTATAAAAAGTAGACATTATGCAGCCTGCCCCCATATACCTTACAGTTAGGAGACACCTTCCTGAATGGGGGATTACAAAGAGTATGCAGAAAAATTTTAAAACTTCTACTATATTAATGGAAAGTTTGTGCCAATTCACCAGCAGCACATGAGAGCCCACATCCCCACATGCTTGCCAGAGTAAAATTGAAATTAAACGTATTTTCAGGAAATATGGTTGCTACCAGAACTTCCTGCCTATGTGGGCGACGTTGTTGTATCTAGAAAGAATGATGTTTTACCATGTACAAATTAGCTACATATGATACTTAGCCAACTTAGTGTCACCTGGTCAGCATTTCTGATCCAAAATCAGAAAAGTTAAGTGGTAGACTATCCAGGGTAACATATTTGAAACTATGTAGGAATCGAGTGCATGTGTTAAACTGTAAGAGCTAGAATGTTTCACTGTTCTCAGTGGTAAGGCTAGGGTGTTTAACAGCCCCTCTCAAATTGCCCCCAGACCACAATCACTGCAGCAAACAGGGCTTTTGATCTAAAGTTACAGTGTGTACAGTCCAACTCAGGTTCTTGTACAGCAGGTGGCCATGGCTGCTGCCACGCTGGGAGAGACAGATGGGGTCAGGCCTGGTTTGGGGTCTGAAGGGGGTTTTGTTTTGGTCCCTTGGTTTTTAGGTTAATCCAATGGCTGGACCTTTGTTAATTGGGAGGCCCACCCTGCCTGGGAGGGCAGAACAATGATGTGAAGAAGGGCTCCGAGTAGATGTTTCCGAGGTTGCCTGCCCACCACTAACCATTCTGAACAGCCAGTAAGCAAAATGCCATTAAGTCTCGTAAAGTTGTTGCCTTGAACTCTTTGTATTTTAGAGAAAGCTGCAGACTGTGGTCAGTGCAAAGAACAATAAATGGCCTGTGTGTACTAGCCACTTGGATGGGAAATAAAATGATGTAATGATGTAAAGATAATCTTATCTATATGGCTTACTTGTAAAGCTAGGCCTAGAAGTATAAATTCTCACTTTTTCAACTGAGTTGTTATACCTCAGTGATGTAGTGAGAAGAATAAAAGTCTCCCTACCTCATTCATGAGGAACTTCTTAGGAGCACATCCTCTGTGTGAGTCTCCCCACTAGTCTCTCCTTGTGCTGCCAGGAACTAACCTAGTACAAGTTTCTGGTTCCCCAGACATCTTCCACATTCAACCTTCAACCTTCAATCCCATTTCCCCCTATTTTCTGCCTATCAAATATCTGCCCTGCAAAGACTAAGGGAGGCTTCCCTTACTCCAAAGCTCTTTATTTGAAAGAAAATTCTTTCTTTGCCTATCTTTCTAAAAAAAAAAAGAAAGAAAAAAAGAAAAACTTCTTTCTTTTTCTCCATACTCACAGCACATTTACTGGCCTCCTTCCCTGGCATTTAGGTCATGCCAGGGTATGCAGCAATTTAGGTAAAGTTGTTTGGATTATTGGTAGTTATTTGCATGCTTGTTTATCATCAGGGGAAGTCCCTGTCTTATCTCCACACCCACCTCTGGTGAATGAGTATTTGTAGAAGTACATTTTCTGATTAGATTAAGGGAAGAAGTAAAGCAATCTGGAAGTAATGAGCAACTAAAACTACATGGGGAAGTACAAGTTGATAGTAAGGTGAGGAAAAGGCCGCAGCCCAGAGAGACCCAGACTGAGCAAATAAACCTATCATTTCAGCGCCTTTGAGCAGAGCAGTCCAGGCTTCCTTTTCTCAGGACTGGATCAGAGAGAAACTGCTGGCTGGTGCTGTGGCTCTTACTCATTTAAAGGCAGCATGTTGCCTAAACCAATAAATGATTCTGTTTGACTAAATTGTATTACATTTCAATCCTTAAGAAAATCAAACATGCTAAGAAGTACATGTTTTCTGTATTACCATTTAAGTTTGAATTCTTAGTCCCGACATTGGCAATTTACAACCTACAATGCTGAGATGTTACTTAGGGAAACAAATGGGCGTGCAGATTTTGATGTAAATGCAACTGTATCTTTGGTGAAGAGCCACCAGCTGACCTGGGCAGATGACTAACATGTACAATCAGGGGTGTCAGATCACCCATCTCAAAACCCAGAATAGCCAAGAGACAGAATAAGAATTCCAAGCATGTGAAAACCCAGAGGGAAGAAAAACTTTCCCCCATTAAGAACTTGTTATGGGCCGGGCGTGGTGGCTCACACCTGTAAATCCTAGCACTCTGGGAGGCCAAGGCGGGAGGATTGCTCAAGGTTAGGAGTTCAAAACCAGCCTGAGCTAGAGCGAGACCCAGTCTCTACTAAAAATAGAAAGAAATTAGCCAGACAACTAAAAATATATAGAAAAAATTAGCCAGGCATGGTGGCGTGTACCTGTAGTCCCAGCTACTTGGGAGGCTGAGGCAGTAGGATTGCTTGAGCCCAGGAGGAGTTTGAGGTTGCTGTGAGCTAGGGCGATGCCACTGCACTCGAGCATGGGTAGCAGAGGAAGACTCTGTCTCAAAAAAAAAAAAAAAACTTGTTATGGATTAGGCAAGAGAAAATATTGAATCATTTAAAAATCACATGTCTAAGCCAGAGGCAGCAGTACATACCTATAGTCCCAGCTACTTGGGAGGCTGAGGAAGGAGGATTGCTTGAGCTCAGGAATTAAAGGCTGGCCTTGGACAACATATCAAAACCCTACCTATATATATATAAATACATGTCTAGCTTAATTGGTAGGTTTAAAGACAAAGGCAGGTGAGGGGCATCTTAGCTTAGCAGAACAATAGGTAGTCCCAGGAAGTTATGTGGGAATGAGCTTGAATGAGTTTGCTACCTTGTCCTTGGTTGGCAGATGTACTTGGAGTTTGTATCTTAAGCTGTTGGTTTTCATGGGTGTCTTTCTGTTTTGAGCAAAGGCGGCTTCAATGATCCATCCTAAAGAGGTGCCTCCTGAGGCCATCTTGTTGGCAGTCTACCTTGAACTGCAGAATGGTGAGTAATTCTCTCTAGTTAGAACTTTAACCCTTCAAAGAAGCCAAGATTTTTGATGTCTGCTTTTTCTCTTAAAAATCAAAACTTTGCCTTCCTTGAAGATATCACCCATCAAGTTCTCTTAAACAAAAATGTAGGTAGAGGTTGAGGTCTATCCTGGTTTTTACCTTAGGTATTGGCATATCCCACTGATCTGTACTATTCTTGAGTGTGATGGCTTTAGGAACTAATATGATTTGAACTCATTCATTTTTCCAAAGGGTGTCAAATTGAGAACCGGGCAGATCTACTCTAAAAATGACCCTAACGTAACTTAAAGAAATTAGATCCTGAAGATTCTTGGTGGGGAATTTAAGTTTTCATCAGTATGTCCATATTGAGATGGAGATAAAAGAAGCCAAAATGAAAGAAAAGAATTGTGGCAAGTAACTTCTGGGCTGACAAAAGAACTATGGATTAAGGATCTGTTCTATTAAAAAGGGCTGTCTTGAAGGTAAATCTTCAGAGACTCCAGCCTTTGAGGAACTAAGGCTATCCTTGATGGACAGTGGAAGGAACCACATGTGAAATTCCTTGAATGAAAATTTATTGACTTTAAATAATTTTGCCTAATGCCATCATTAAAAAAACTCTTTTAACAAAAGAAAAAGAGAAAATGTAATTAGAGAGTTTTTGGTATCCTACAAATACCTCCTTGCAAGTTAAGCATATTTCATCTTATCTGTGAAAATGCAGAATCATAACTTCTGATGCTTAATTATAATTAATCCCTACTAATTAACCTTTTTCTTAGGCAGCTAAGTGACTCTAATTGAGAACATGAGTCAGAATTCCTGTTGTTTTGAGTTCTACACCATAGTATTTGGAACACAGATGTCATTAATGAGTTTTACAGTAAGCCATTCTTGCTCAGAATTACTTATTTAAACATAAATCCAGGTCATGCCTCTAGAGCATATATGATCTCCAGGATGTGGCTTCCTAGAAGAAAGGCTGTAAGCCTTAAATATGAGATGGCATAAAGTAGAAAAGAGATGTGAATGGGATAAATTATGATAGGAGGGACAGAGATATTAAGAGTTCTGAGTCACAGCCGGGTACAGTGGTACGTGCCTATAGTCCCAGCTACTCAGGAGGCTGAGGTGAGAGGGTCATTTGAGCCCAGGAGTTTGAGGCTGCAGTGTGCTATAATCATGCCTGCGAATAGCCACTGAACTCTAGCCTGGGCAGCAGAGCAAGACCCCATCTCTTTAAAAAAAACAAAAGAGAGAGAGATCTAAGTTATACCTCCTTGTTGATCGTGGGAACCTTTACAAGGCTCCCCCTATTTTGTAGCTGGAGAAGTAATTTTAAGTGCCTGACACCCAAGTAAGCCTTGGTCTCCTTAAAGACTTGATGACAGTTAGTGCATGGTCCTAGATCCCTTCTTTTATACAGCCCACTTGTAACAAGTTTGTTTGTTTTTTTTTTTTCTCAGAGCTCCAAAAGAGAAAAATGTAACAAGTTCTTAACCTGGGCTGTACCTTAGAATCACTAGGAAGCTTTTAAAAATCCCATTGCCAGGCCACACCCTGCATCACTTAAATCAGAATTTTGGGGGATGGGTCGCAGGCATTATGTGTACCACCAAGGCTACAGACCCACCACTCTTCTAGATTATCTTTTACCTCCCTTGTAGAATTCTGGTGGCTGGCTTTGTGTGTGGTGGTATTGTTGTGTGCTTTGTTTCTTACTAGGATGTGTTCTTATAGGTAATACCCAGCTGGCCTTACAGATCATCAAAAGGAATCAGCTGCTCCCTGCAGTGAAAACACACGCTGATGTGAGAAAGAAGCCAGTGTTTCAGCCTGTCCACCCGATCCAGCCCATCCAAATGCCGGCTTTCACCACTGTGCAGAGAAAGTGATATTGCACTTTTGGAAAAATGTTACCTGAGACCCAGGGCAGTATTTACTGGCCTTTGTCATTGTATCACAACAAAATGAATAAAAGACAGACGGTGAAGGTTGTTAGTTTTGAAGACACAATTTCCACTCGTTCTACCCATGACTGTTTTGCCAGAAGCTTACTTAAAATTAAGGATTCACAAACTCATTTTCAGCTGTTTTTCTTTAATTTCTGCCTATTAATTTCGAGCCATTATTCAATATGTGTCATGGGCAATTAAAACACGATCTTATCAGAAGTCTTATACAGTCTTTTCTTGCAACAGAGTATTTAGCATCTGAGATTTAATGTTAAATACTAAAGAAATTCACAGAAGAACATCAGCAGTAGATAAATAGCCAGTGCAGAAGCTGACCTGGGGTGGAGGAAAGGGAGAGAGAATTGATGTGTTTTATGCCTAGTTATGACTAAAGGGACCAGAAAATGTGTAATAACCCATAGGGCTGGTATAATTGGGTTAAGAAGACATGACTGATCTGTTAGGAATCATTTACTTAAAAATTACAAATATAGACAAACAGGTTTGGTTCAATGCACTTGTCTTGTTCATCCTCCTGTACCCTTAGGCAGAAGCACTGGCTCTGGAGTCTGTTAGCATGTAGTTCAAGGTTCATTGCTCAACCACCCCTTTACAAATGCAAACAAGAATTTAAAAGCTTCTTCCCAAAAAACAGGTATGTGTTGTAGGATTGACATTAACAAAATTTGCCGATAGGGTAGATGTATGCTAACTTTAAGTAGAAAAAAATAGCACAGACTTGCTTTAGAAAACTGGGTGACCCCTAGTTAAGATAGTGTTTGGCATTAATGGATCCGCCAAAGCTTGCCATTTAGGAGTATACTTTGCTGTCTGCGTCTCTTCAGTTCCCTAGTTTGGAGACCAGCCTCAGGGAAGTGTAACACACTAGCTGAATCTACATGGTTCCTCAGTTTCAGAAATAGGCAAGTGTTTGGATAAGCACGTGATTTATCTGAAACTATCTGAATTATTCTGTTGCTGACCAGAAACAGAATTCAGATAGGGATATGTACTGGAACTGAGTATTTGTGATTTAACTAGGCATTGCCCACAGACTCAGAAAGGGAAAGAATTTCTTCCTTCACTTAAACGTGGATGGATGTAGGAAGGGGCTTCATTGTTCCATTGCCACTTGCAGTTGTTTTATACACAGAGTAGATTCCAGGTGGATACGGAAGGCGGAGGTGGCCTACCTACTTTGGGCCTCTTGAAGCCCTTTCCAGATGAGGTGAGAGTAGGACCCTTTAGCTGCACTGGTATTGATCTCCGTCTGCAGCCTCTGCTGGCGTGGTGGAACCCACCCAAATTCTGCAGCATGGTAGCAGAGTTGCTTAGCCTGAGCATTTTCTGGAGAGTAAGTTCACAGACTTCATAAATTGTTAGGAACTCACATGATCTTGGTAGTATGGAGTAGGAAAAGGCCTGTAATTGCACTTGAAAACAACACGTCTTTGGAGAAATCCTGAGAAATTAGAACTTTTCTCTGCATGCTGATTTATTTATGGGAAAGCAGGAATAGCTATGAAGGGCAAGGCAGGTCCCATGTTAAATAAGAATACAGTTGGCTGCAAGTAGCAAAAAATAGATCTATGATTTAACAAAGATTGCTTTTCTCTCCCTTGAGAAGGGGGGATATGTAGGTAGCTGTTGGCCTTGGTTCTAGTATCCAGTGATGTCATCAGGGACTCAGCTCTATTCTTCCATGCCACTATCCTTAACATTTGAGCTTTTGTCCTCATGGTCACAAGATGTTCCAGCATCACATTAAAGGCAAGAAGAAGGCACAGGTAGCTAATCTTGATAGGAGACTATTAGGAACAAAGCTTTCTCAGAAGCCCCCAGCAGACCTCGGCTTACATCCCTTTGTCAAATCACGTCATGTAGCCATCCTTAGCTGCAGGGAATCGTGGGGAAGAAGTCACTAACAGTGTCTGCTTCACTTGCTGGGACAGCCCTGCATGTCTTAAGGGGGGGCCACTTAAGTGTTTTCCCAACCTGGTGAACTATGTCTGATGCCTTGTTTTCAGATTAACGTCCCAGCATCTCAGCTTTGCAAATCTCCACTGCCCACCCTCAGCAGAGCGGAGCAAATTAAATGTAAGCTTTTCACCTCTGAGACCATTCACACTGGTTCCCCCAAACTAGGAAGGCTTCCTGCCATCTGTTTTTCCTGCCCCAGTTTGTTAAAGCCACCTCTAACTAACCATATGAGTAGTATATAATCCTGTCTATACTAAGAGGCTTTCAATGCCACTTCTGGGTATAGTAGCATGCACCTATAGTCCCAGCTTTGGGAGGCTGAGATAGATCACTTGAGCCCAGGAGTTCAAGGCAGCAGTGAGCTGTGATCACACCACTGCACTCCAGCCTAGGCAACAGAGCAAATAAATAAATGCTACTTCTCTGAAGTTTTTCCTAGCTATCCCAGTTTCTTCCCCCTTTGTGTGTCTGGTATATATACTTTCTAATGTGGTATATGTTTTTCTGGAATTTAACAGGCGCGGGTGTTGTTGGCATCATCCGTAAAACGTAAAGGATAACATCTTTTTTGCTGGGGTTTTGAATTCTGAGAAGAGCCCCATTAGTTCTGTTCAAGCTTCACCCCCAATTCAGCTGCACCATATACAAACTAGGAACAGATTTACCTCATGGATCCTTTAACAGACCCAACAGAATGTTGTTGCAAGTGTCTCTGAAACTGCAAGGCAGGAACCCTCAGAACAGCTGGAGTAAGCAGTCTTCCATTATGCCTCCTGGCCCTTAACCCTAAGATGATCTGGCCCCTGTAAAGAGCTCAAGCCTTGCTCTTGACTGGCAGGAAGGCTTAGCAACCTTCCATGGCCTTTCCCAATCCACTTTCACCTGCCTACACATGAACACCAGTCACCCTCCATGGCCTCTTCCATGGCACAGTGCTACCTTTCATAACAAACCGTACCCTGACAGTCCAACCACTCATACTCTTTTCTGACTAGTTGGCTGGAGACTTTGCCCCTTACTCAACCCAGTGACTTTGAGCAAATGGCTTTATCTCTCTTGGGCTCAACCTGTCCTCCTGCCTCAGCTTCCCGAGTACCTGGGACTATAGGCATGTTAGCCACTATGCCCGCTAATTTTTAAATTTTTTGTAGAAATGGGGTCTTGCTGTGTTGCCCAGGCTGGTTTTGAGCTCCTGGCCTCAAGTGATCCTCCCACCTCAGCCTCCCAAAGTTCTGGGATTACAGGTGTGAGCCACTGCACCTGGCTTGTCTCAAGTTTTTTTGACCAGTTTGTAAAATCAGGGTACCTTTCCTCAGGGCCTAGTGTGAGGATTAAAATGAGATGACAAATGCACAGTGGACACTTAACACAGATGAGTTCACTTACCCCTCCTGCTACCTAAGAGACCAGCTCAGCCCAATCACCCCCTACTTCATATGTCTAGTGTCTGGTTCATAGTAATTGCTTAATAAATGCTGGCATCCCGTGTTCCATTCCATTTTTACCTGCCTTGCCCAGGTCCTCGCCTTGTGATGACGAGGTCCCAGGTCTCCCAGGTCCCTTCTCCCACCCTTTCCTCCTTGCCACAGTCTATAACTTCCTAAGGCACAGCTCGGACTCCTGCCTTGGAGTTCCTGTAGGAAGACCTGAAGGTCTCTTTCTACCCTCCCTACTTAGCTACTGTTAACCCCCCTTACACCCCATGTGTTCACCAAACTGGATTCTCTGCCATCTCCCAAAAGGAGTCACCATTTTTCACCCCCAGGGCTTTGCTTCAGGCTCCTCTGCTGCCTAGAATTTTCTCCCTTCAGTTGCAGTGTGTCAACATCCTACCATCCCACACCGCCTCTCCACAGCCCCAACCTCCTCCAGGGAGCTTCCTCTTACCCCCAGGCTCCATTGCACATGCTCTGGGCTGGTGAGCTTTCTTGCTGAGCCCCGTAGTAACTTTGCAGATGTGCAAGCACGTGTCTTTCACAACATGTTCTTTGTCATCTATCTTCTTTCCCCTCCTGGATTGTTAGTACCTTTGAAGACAGGCTGTGCATTATACAGTTTGTGGATTGTTCTAGATGAACAATAAAGTCTGCTTTCTAGGCCTGGCAGTGTCTCACAGGGCCTGCTGCTTTCAAGGTGGGGACTCCTGGCCGATTAACATAACCCCAAGGCTCACAGGGCCTCCGCATCCTTGACCCTCTGAGCCCTGTGGAGTGGGAGTTAAATAGTAGCCCAGGATGGGTGGGTTGTGGTTACTGGTCAAACTCAATCCTCCAAGGCAGCTGGCCCGGCCTACAGTAAACAAACCCGTGCAGAAATTTCATCTTCCCCTTTGTCCCTGAGAAGGACAGAGCAGAAACGCAGGCTCCAGGGTGGGAGTGGGGCTGCCACGGGAGGAGGCAGCGAAGTTCATTAGCCCCCTCATTTGGGGCAGTGGGAATCCGTGTGGTGACAAACAATTGTCCTGGAGGATTTAGGGGGATTTGCCCAAGTGTCCCTGTGGGCCCCCAGCCTCCTCCTAATCCCGTCCACATTTCAGACTACTTAGGATCGCATTAAATGTCAAAGCCGGCGTTTAGGGAAATATCTACATTTCGTTTGCATCGCCCGGGTCAAAAGAAAAGCTGAAACGAACCTCGGAGCATTTGGCGCGAGAGGCGCTCTGTGTGGTCCCGAGTGTGAATGGGAAGGGGGGGCGGCGCCCTCGCGGCCTCCCCGCCCAGGAATGCGGGCCTTTCACATGTAGAAAATGCTAATGCTTTGTTCCTGCCTCGGCCTCCCGGAGGCGCAGAGGCGCCCGGCCAGATTGTCACAGCTGCATTTGCATGCGAGCAGCCCGCGGCCCCATCCCCACCCCCAACCCTCCCCTCCCCCAGCGTGGCTTTCCTGGGACCTCTGGGACTCGTGGAAAGGCCGCCTGCAAATGTCCTCTGCCGTCGCTTAATCCCTGCTAAAGCCACAGGTAGCTGTGGCTATCCTTTTCCTTGTGAATATCCTTTTCCCTGAGCCAGGCAGGTGAATACATTTTACTCCATACTTACTAAGATGTTGACACTTTCAATTATTTTATATGAAGCAAGACTATTCCATCGGGGAAGATCAAGGCGTTGGTGCACCATCCTCCTGCTCAGTTCCACATTTATGTTCTTGGCGACAATCTCCGTGTGTTTGATGTGACACCCACCGGAGGCTCCAAGCTAACCGTTACGGGTTCATCCTCAGAGTGGGCATCCGAGAGACCG